AGGCATGAGCTTAGATCGGCTAAGTTACAAACGTTAATTTTGGTGCATCAAACCAACCTCTCCAACGTAGCTAGCTAGCTACGTTAGCTAATAAAAAAAACAATGCTCTAAAATGACATGTAATAGCATAATGCCATGACAGTTTCATCAAACAGAAGTAGTAGTAGGTCTATTCTTACCTTGATTGTTGTTAATAGCTACTCTTTGGCCATATCTCCAATTTTATTTCAAGTCTCATCACAAAATCATACAGGCAATGTTGTTCTGCACTAATATGGCTGTTGACTGATGTTGCAGCATCTTAGCGGTCTTAACCTGATTTATCCTCACTTTCTGGCAATTGTGTAATCAGGGTCAGTTCCACGCATAAGCGACATAAACGGTCGCTTAGGGCCCCTGGCCGCTACGGGGCCCCCAACCCAATAAAATTTTTAAGGAACTCAGTGGGTTCTCAACTTACTATTGATAGTTAGAATAGTAGAATACACCAGGTGCAATTTCAAAATTTGTGCATAGTTAGTTTTTCTCTTGTTATGTCTGTCACTGACAGTCAGCTAACAATTGTTAGATTGGTAGTTAGTCTATCCAGCTATCCAAACTTTTAGTAATCATGACCGAATACCAACCGGGCATGTGCCCAGAGGCCCTGACCTCCAGGGGCCCCCCATTGATTGTGTTTGAATTGCAGGAAATACAACTATATGTTCTATGTACCATGGCAAAATGAGTAGAATTGCATTAATTTTGTTATAAAACTACAACATTTTCCTCTACGCCCCATGTCAAAATGTCTAGAATTGAAGGAAATTAACTTTAAAACTAGAATGTTTCTAAACTAATTACGTTCCTAAACACTCACCATGATCACCTGAAAAACATAAATAGTGTCACAATTACTTTTGCAAACTGTAGCAATACAGAAACTTTTTAACAACCAAGCAATGGTTATATATCTAACCTACATGCTTATGGTCGACAAAGAAAGCAAACAGGTACACGTAAAACACATTAATTGAAGTACAGTCAAAGTGTTCACAGAGTTGGATCATGTCTATGATAAAGTGGCTTGCAAAAGTATTCACCCCCCTTGGCATTTTTCCTATTTTCTTGCCTTACAACCTGGAATTAAAATTGATTTTTTGGGGGTTTGTATCATTTGATTTACACAACATGCCTACCACTTTGAAGATGCAAAATATTTTTGATTGTGAAACAAACAAGAAATAAGACAAAAAAACAGAACCCCCCCCCCCCCCCAAATGCAATACTTTGTAGAGCCACCTTTTGCAGCAATTACAGCTGCAAGTCTCTTTGGGTATGTCTCTATAAGCTTGGTACATCTAGCCACTAGGATTTCTCCCCATTCTTCGAGGCAAAACTGCTCCAGCTCCTTCAAGTTGGATGGGTTCCGCTGGTGTACAGCAATCTTTGTCATACCACAGATTATCAATTGGATTGAGGTCTGGGCTTTGACTAGGCCATTCCAAGACATGTAAATGTTTCCCCTTAAACCACTCGAGTGTTGCTTTAGCAGTATGCTTAGGGTCATTGTCCTGCTGGAAGGTGAACCTCCGTCCCAGTCTCAAATCTCTGGAAGACTGAAACAGGTTTCCCTCAAGAATTTCCCTGTATTTAGTGCCATCCATCATTCCTTCAATTCTGACCAGTTTTCCAGTCCCTGCCGATGAAAAACATGATGGTGTTCTCGGGGTGATGAGTGGTGTTGGGTTTGCGCCAGCCATAGCGTTTTCCTTGATGGCCAAAAAGCTAAATTTTAGTCTCATCTGACCAGAGTACCTTCTTACATATGGTTGGGGAGTCTCCCACATGCCTTTTGGCGAACACCAAACGTGTTTGCTTATTTTTTTCTTTAAGCTATGGCTTTTTTTCTGGCCACTCTTCAATAAAGCCCAGCTCTGTTGAGTGTACAGCTTAAAGTTGTCCTATGGACAGATACTCCAATCTCCGCTGTGGATCTTTGCTGCTCCTTCAGGGTTATCTTTGGTCTCTTTGTTGCCTCTCTGATTAATGCCCTCCTTGCCTGGTCTGTGAGTTTTGGTGTGCGGCCCTCTCTTGGCAGGTTTGTTGTGTTGCCATATTCTTTCAATTTTTTAATAATGAATTTAATGGTGCTTAGTGGGATGTTCAAAGTTTCTGATATTTTTTTATAACCCAACCCTGATCTGTACTTCTCCACAACTTTGTCCCTGACCTGTTTGGAGAGCTCCTTGGTCTTCATGGTGCCGCTTGCTTGGTGGTGCCCCTTGCTTAGTGGTGTTGCAGACTCTGGGGCCTTTCAGAACATGTGTATATATGCTGACATCATGTGACACTATGATTGCACACAGGTGGACTTTATTTAACTAATTATGTGACTTCTCTAGGTAATTGGTTGCACCAGACCTTATTTAGTGGCTTCATAGCAAAGGGGGTGAATACATATGCACGCATCACTTTTCCGTTATTTATTGTTTTGAATTTTTTGAAACAAGTTCTTTTTTTCATTTCACTTCACCAATTTTGACTATTTTGTGTATGTCCATTACATGAAATCCAAATAAAAATCCATTTAAATTACAGGTTGTAATGCAACAAAATAGGAAAAACGCCAAGGGAGATGAATACTTTTGCAAGGCACTGTAGCCAGGAAGAGGTGAGGTGGGGATGTGATTAGCAGTGGTGTAAAGTTCTTAAGTAAAAATACTTTAAAGTACTATATAGGTAGTTTTTTTGCGGTATGTGTATTTTACTTTATTATTTATATTTTTGCCAACTTTTACTTTAACTTCACTACATTCCTAAAGAAAGTAATGTACTTTTTACGCCATACATTTTCCCTGACACCCAAAAGTACTCATTACATTTTGACAGGAAAATTGTCCAATTCACACACTTATCAAGAGAACATCCCTGGTCATCCCTACTGCCTCTAATCTGGCGGACTCACTAAACACAAATGCTTCATTTGTAAATGATGTCTGAGTGTTGGAGTGTGCCCCTGGCTGTCCGTCAATAAATTAAAAAAAGAAAATTGTGCCGTCTGGTCTGCTGAATGTTTGGAATTTGAAATGGTTTAAACTTTTACTTTTGATACTTAAGTACATTTTAGCAATTCCATTTACTTTGATACTTAAGTATATTTAAAACCAAATACTTTTTGACTTTTACTTGAGTCATTTTCTATTAACATATCTTTACTTACAAGTATGACAATTTATGACTTTTTCCACCACTGGTGATTAGTCTAGATATAACAGCATTTCTTAATCCTGTTCCTGTTGACCCAAAGGGTTACACATCTTTGTTTTTAGCCCCAGCACTACACAGCTGATTCAAATGATCAACTTATCAAGTGTTGATGATTTGAACTTGGTGTGTAGTGCTAATGCAAACACAGCATAGCTTCCTCCACTGTCCATGTCACACACTGGGCTCGAACCAGTGATCCTCTGCTCGCAGACACATGTGACCGTCCTCCTTGAAAACGAACCAACGGTTTGAGCCACCCAAAACGTACCAATTGGATGATCCATCTGCGACATTTCAAGCTAACTTAGGAGTGAGTTTATGGCACATTCTTAAGTCTGCTACACATTTGTATGTGATCAAATCAAATCACATTTTATTTGTCACATACACGTGTTTAGCAGATGTGATTGCTGGTGTAGCGAAATGCTTGTGCTTCTAGCTCCAACAGTGCAGTAATATCTAACAGGTAATATCTATCAATTTCACAACATATACACACAAATCTAAGTAAGGAATATAATTTAAGAATATATACATATATGGACAAGCAATGACAGAGCGGCATGGACTAAGATACAATAGAATATTATAGAATACAGTATAGACAGTGGGGAAAAAAGTATTTAGTCAGCCACCAATTGTGCAAGTTCTCCCACTTAAAAAGATGAGAGAGGCCTGTCATTTTCATCATAGGTACACGTCAACTATGACAGACAAAATGAAAAAAAAAATCCAGAAAATCACATTGTAGGATTTTTAATGAATTTATTTGCAAATTATGGTGGAAAATAAGTATTTGGTCAATAACAAAAGTTTCTCAATACTTTGTTATATGCCCTTTGTTGGCAATGACACAGATGAAACGTTTTCTGGAAGTCTTCACAAGGTTTTCACACACTGTTGCTGGTATTTTGGCCCATTCCTCCATGCAGATCTCCTCTAGACCTGTGTCATTGCCAACAAAGGGTATATAACAAAGTATTGAGAAACTTTTGTTATTAACCAAATACTTATTTTCCACCATAATTTGCAAATAAATTCATTTAAAATCCTACAATGTGAATTTCTGGATTTTATTTTCTCATTTTGTCTGTGATAGTTGACGTGTACCTATGATAAAAATTACAGGCCTCTCATCTTTTTAAGTGGGAGAAGTTGCACAATTGGTGGCTGACTAAATACTTTTTTCCCCCACTGTAGCCTATGCATGGCCTATATTATCAGATGTGCTATTAGCAATAAGCATTATCACCTGTATCCCAACTGATAAAGCATAGTGGCTATAAAATGTACATCGGCTGAAACATGGGGTTTGTCCAAGTGCATTTACCCCATTGGACACAACATCCTAATTGTTATTATTATTTATTATTGTTATTTTACTATACATATGAATATATAAATACCTATTATTCACTCAACATTTTTGTTTGTTTCTATTACAAAGTATGTAATTGCACTTTTAAGACACAATTGCCCCTTTAAGAGCTATGTTGCGCAGCTGCGCTTAAACTATGCTTAAAGCTCCAGTTTTAAAACTGCATATTTAAAACGATGGCACGCGCAATTGAAGGAGTAGAGAATAAACATGGTAGCAATTTAAAACTGGGATACCCCTCTTTTTTCAGAAAGGCCAAAACTGCTTTCAAAAGTGTTTTATTTGGGAATATATTTCGTAGAACAGACATGCTTCTTTTCTGTCTCCAACCCAGCCTCCCTGAGTCAACACTGGTCTAAAAAACGAACAGTGTTCAGGGGTTAAAGGTCTCCGGGTCTACACTGATCTCAAAAACACAGTGACGGAGAACTTTCACACTGGGAGAGAGAAAGATACAAAGGGGAGGGAGAGAGAGGGGGAATGAGAGATCAGGGCATGACAGAAATGATCAGTGAGAGATGAGATAAAGAAAGACCACCCACATCCACACACACCCTCCTAGTAACAATCTGACTGCATACACCCTCCTAGTAACAATCTGACTGCATACACCCTCTCCTAGTAACAGTCTGACTGCAGGTGTAGCCTAACTCTCATTGTTTGTGACGTCCATTGCTGGTCATTGCTGATCCTCTTCCTATCCTCCTCCTGTGATTCGTCAAAGATAGACTCCATCTCCTCCATGTAGCGAGGGGTGTAGCGGGTCACCTCTTCCAGAACCTTCTCAAAGCAGGCTCACACCTGGGAGTGTCGATTGGTGAGAGATGTACACATTATTACACACACCCATGTACATATATAAAAGCAGGTTTCCTGTAGAACATCATGTTATTACAATATTACAATATTGATAAAAGGGTCACTGTAAAAAAATTAAAATCTGTACTTACGTCGATTGGGGTTGTACTGTATTCTCAAATGTGTTGGCGGATTATAGGTGGATATCATTAAAAGGCCTTGATGAGAAGAATAACTAGTTAGCTAGCTAATTAATGTTAGTATTTGAAATATTCCAGTCCTATGATTAAATGTCTATCATTTACAAAGTGTTATTTGTTTCTGGCAGTGTAGATCTGATGATGTTTTTAAATAGGAAGGAAACTCAGCTGTTTACAGCTAGCGATAGACAACTAGCTAGCAATCATAGCTAAGACCTGAATGTCTCTGCAGTTGATAAAATTAACTAGCTAGATCAAAGCAATGTTAGTATTAGTATTTCTAGCATAGTCATAAATGGCTAGCTAGCTGGCTAAATAACTGGCTAGTTAGCTAACATCATAACTTTTAGGACAGATGTGTTTACTGACAGGAAAGACTATTATTGGTAACATCAGCAAACAGGATAGCCTCTAAGCTCTGGGAGACCATTATACATTGGTGTACAGGTCTCCCGGAGCGAAGAGGCTACTAGCAGGAGGAATGTAATGCTAACTAGCACGCCTGTAGCTAGTTGTTAATGGTGTTGCGTTGCCGAAGCAGAGACAGAAGGTCACCAATCTGTAGCTAATCAGGGCCCGGTTTCCCGATAGTGATGGCGTTTAGGCTTACAAGTGTTTTAACGATGCATCTTTCCTACAACGGCCGAAGATGTAACATGCGTTTCCCAAAACACTACCCAGAGAAAATGGTCGCTAAGTGCGTCGTTTAGGCATGTGTAGCACTGCTCTCAGATCAGCGTTCTCCCTTTCCAATCTTACCTTAACATTAAAATTAATACACAATACTGACGATGGATCACTTACTAGAGAGATATTAACACCTATGGCTACAAATATTGAGGTGGCTTAATCTAATGCTTAACCTATAATAATGCACTAAATTAAGATTTGGCTCATCATTGTGCACGTTACACGTCATGAAATATAGAGGCAAAAATGACAGACAGTAGCGTACAAATAGCTACATTAAATTCAATTGAATTGAGAGACGCCTGTCAACGGGGTGAAATTTGCATGTGAGAGCAGCGAGCATCAATTCACATACACTGCATAGCGTATGCTAACGTAATTGGCATGAAAATCCTTAATAAACAGTTGTATATATTCGCTATGTAGCCCCTGGGAGTTACATTTACATTACATTTTAGTCATTTAGCAGACGCTCTTAACCAGAGCGACTTACAGGAGCAATTAGGGTTAAGTGCCTTGCTCAAGGGCACATTAACGTCATTTAGCAGACGCTCTTAGCCAGAGCGACTCACAAATTGGTGCGTTCACCCTATAGCCAGTGGGATAACCACTTTACAATTTGGGGGGGGGGGGGGGGGTTAGAAGGAATACTTTAGCCTATCCCAGGTATTCCTTAAAGAGGTGGGGTTTCAAATGTCTCCGGAAGGTGGTGAGTGACTCCGCTGTCCTGGCGTCGTGAGGGAGCTTGTTCCACCATTGGGGTGCCAGAGCAGCGAACAGTTTTGACTGGGCTGAGGGGGAGCTGTGCTTCCGCAGAGGAAGGGGAGCCAGCAGGCCAGAGGTGGATGAACGCAATGTCCTCGTTTGGGTGTAGGGACTGATCAGAGCCTGAAGGTACAGGGGTGCCGTTCCCCTCACTGCTCCAAAGGCAAGCACCATGGTCTTGTAGCGGATGCGAGCTTCAATTGGAAGCCAGTGGAGTGTGCGGAGGAGGGGGGTGACGTGAGAGAACTTGGGAAGGTTGAACACCAGACGGGCTGCGGCATTCTGGATGAGTTGTAGGGGTTTAATGGCACAGGCAGGGAGCCCAGCCAACAGCGAGTTGCAGTAGTCCAGACGGGAGATGACAAGTGCCTGGACCAGGACCTGCGCCGCTTCCTGTGTAAGGCAGGGTCGCACTCTCCGAATGTTGTAGAGCATGAACCTGCAGGAGCGGGTCACCGCCTTGATGTTGGCGGAGAACGACAGGGTGTTGTCCAGGGTCACGCCTAGGCTCTTCGCACTCTGGGAGGAGGACACAGCGGAGTTGTCTACCGTGATGGCGAGATCATGGAACGGGCAGTCCTTCCCGGGGAGGAAGAGCAGCTCCGTCTTGCCAGGGTTCAGCTTGAGGTGGTGATCCGTCATCCATACTGATATGTCTGCCAGACATGCAGAGATGCGATTCGCCACCTGGTGATCAGAAGGGGGAAAGGAGAAGATTAGTTGTGTATCGTCAGCGTAGCAATGATAGGAAAGGCCATGTGAGGATATGACAGAGCCAAGTGACTTGGTGTATAGGGAGAAAAGGAGAGGGCCCAAAACCGATCCCTGGGGGACACCAGTGGTGAGAGCACGTGGTGCGGAGACAGCTTCCCGCCACGCCACTTGGTAGGAGCGACCGGTCAGGTAGGACGCAATCCAGGAGTGAGCCGCGCCGGAGATGCCCATTTCGGAGAGGGTGGAGAGGAGGATCTGATGGTTCACAGTATCAAAGGCAGCAGACAGATCTAGAAGGACAAGAGCAGAGTTATTGTAGGCAATTTCCTTTTGACTCCTACGGTAGTCACCGTACCTGGGCTAAACAGTTGTTGTTTTGATAGCTTCACAAGGATGTTGTAGCTAATAAACCCGATCTGTTTATAAACAACTAAGTCTCGTTCTTTCTACATAAACAGTATTCTCTCTTGAAATCAGAGTCCTCAATTTTTCAAGCTGTAGCCTGCCTAGGCTATATGCCTATGATTGAAATCAACACAGGTAGGCAGTCTTAAATAACAAGCGTTTTCAAGAGCAACTTTAGTAACGATGGTTTTGGGAAACAGGTCGAAGATCTAACGATGCTTCCACAAAAATTCTAACGATTAACGTAGCCTTAAGATACTTTTGGGTAACCGGGCCCAGCTAGATAACTTGGCTAGTTAGTTGTCTGTGACCTAATGTTAGCTAGTTAGATATCTAATTTGCTAGCTAATGTGTCCGCTAATATCGGCGATACAATGTCACTGCCCAGCAACAAACAAGCAACAACTTCTTACCTTAAATCATTCTTACCATAACATAATAGCTAGTTAGCTACTTCAGTTTGGACATTCAACACTAGTACAATAATCCAATCTCTAATCTCTGATGACGATGTCCTACTTCTTCTTCTTCTATGGTATTATGGCGGTCCGCAAACAATGTTAGAAGTGCATGCCGCCACCTACTGGATGGGTGAAAACTGATCAACTTTAATGCAGAAGGGGGAAGGGTGAACAAAAACTTCACTCCTTCAATCAGATTCAAATGTCTTCTCAGATCCCAATACAGGCTCAGTAGCCTGAGAGGGGGGAACTCTCTTCATTCCGTATTCCCTGTAACATTTCGGCCATGAAGTCCTAAAGATCCAAACATATTTTCGCCGCCGTCACAATGATTTCTAGTTTCTTCAATTTTTTATTAGTTTGTCCAGTGCAATTTATCACTTGCACGATAAACGCAACAAAGTCTACCTTCTTCACTGTTAGCATCTCAGGATCCCCTCTGATTAACGACATTTTTCAAAGCAGGCTGTGGCGCATCCACTCTCATTTTATCTCCACTTGCTCCATCTGCCATTTGCACTGCCTCCACATAGGATACCTGCTGGATAGCCCTGATCCTAGCTTCTGCAACCTCTTTGACCCTATCAGGGCACTCTGGGAACTCGGGAGCGTGATTCCCATTACAATTACAACAGCACCGTGCTTCCTCAAACTCTTCAACAACAACATATTTGTTTCTTCTGCAAACACTTGCCACATGTTCAAACATTTTACAATTATAACACTGAAGCGGCTTTTGTACATCCTTGTCCCATCGCGCTCTAGCGACTCCTTTTGGCGGGCCGGGGGCATGCACGCTGACTTCGGTCGCCAGTTGTATGGTGTTTCCTCCGACACATTGGTGCGGCTGGCTTCCGGGTTAAGCAAGCAGTGTGTCAAGAAGCAGTGCGGCTTGACAGGGTCATGTTTCGGAGGATGCATGGCTCTCGACCTTCGACTCTCCCGAGTCCGTACGGGAGTTGCAGCGATGACACAAGACTGTAACTACCAATTGGATATGACAAAATTGGGGAGAAAAAGTAGTAAAAAGTACAATAATAATAATAATAATAATAATAATAATAATAATAATAATAACACATTTCACTGCACCTATCCAGTGTATGTGACAATAAAAACGTATATTAATTCCTGCAGACCCAAAAACCTTTCATCCGCACCTACAATTATGTCCAGTTTCTGACTTCATGTTTGTTGTTTGGGCAGTACAATTAATCACCTGTGCAATAAATGCCACAGAATTACACCTTCTTTACAATCAATGTATCAGTATCCCTCAACTGTTGAGTGACATTCTGAACCGGCTGTGGGTCATCCTCTGCCATAGCTTCCTCAGCTCTACTTTCTCCTTCAACTATTTCCCGCACCACTCTGTAGGAGAGCTGTTGTACAGCTCAGATCCTTGCAACTTCAAACTCCTTTACCATAGCAGGGCATTTGGGGAATTCGTATTTGCTACACCGTACATTATCAGACTCTTCAACTACATGTTGATTCCATTGACACACACTTGAGACATGGCCATACTTTTTGTAATTTTGGCCCTGTAATTGTTTATTTACGAAGGCTCTTACAGCGTATCTCACATATCCCATCTTTACATGTGTAGGCAGATACTCTTCATCAAACATCAGTAAAACCAACTGACTTTCTTCCTTCTTTCCATCCACTACACGGTGCAGGGGCCGTGCTCCCACCACTCTTGGAATCTTCTTCCAAAGACATGAAGCTTTAATGTCCAGCGATACTGCTGAAATCACACCTTTAATCAATGCCCTGATACGAAAATCAAAGCTTCTCCACTTCAGATGTCGCCAACTTATGCCACAAAGCTTTCTCCTTCTGCTCTTCCGAGACTCATGAAATCAGAACAAAACCACTCCTGGCAACTGACTTATTCTACCTTTCCAAATGCATCCTTTATCATCTTTGTGACCTCAAATGGATCTCCCAAGTATACATCATTATTAACAAA